CGGTTTTCTTTTTTTTTTTTTAATTTATGTATATATTTATATTTATATTAAATACATGTTCATTTTTTAATGTATGTATATATTTTTATTTATACTTGACATTAAAAATAAAATTACAATACGTATTTGTAATTGAGAATCAAAGTCCACGTAGTTCTTTTACAAAACGTCTCGGATATTATGCATTTATTTTTTAGACTTGTGCTAACAAATTTGTTCACAAATCAATGGAAGTTTGGAACTAATGAATAGGGGGATGAAATTAATGTGAAGTATTCACGACTCGAACGTGAGCTTAACATTACGTTATTTTGCAATCATTTTGTCGAACCTGAGTAAGAATTAAGATGATAAGTACGTATATATAAAAGTTCTATTGTTTGTGCAATCCCAGACGTAATTTATATTTCAAATCATAATACATAATAAAGACTATTGACATCACATCACAGTCGTACATGTCGTTAATGTTTCAACATCAACTTCATTTCGAACAATGATATCTTATCAATATTCTTCATTATGTATTATGATTCGAACTATAAATTTCATCTGCAATACCACAAACAACAGAGCGCTTATATATACTTACTTATCATCTGCAGTCTAACTCAATTTCGACGAATGATTGCAAAATAACGCAATGTTAAGCTCACATTCGAGTCGTCAACACATCACATATATTTCATCCAACTATCCATTAGTTTCAAACTTTCAGTGATTTGTGACCAAAAATTATACTTTTATTGTACGTCACATATGGACTTGAACTTAATTGACATCTACTAAATATCCGAGGATATAGTCAATTAAGGTGCCTACGTATCCCTCATATTGGGAATCAAAGTCCACGTAGTTCTGTTACAAAACATCTCGAATATTATTGTTCAATTGTACGCATATAAGAGAGTTGGAATCAACATTTTTTTTTCCGGTTTGCTTATTAGTATCAAATTACAGAGAATAACATGAGGGATGAATCGATTATCATGCGAATAAGGAGGAAGCCATTCAAATTTCTCAGTGCTGATGTCACTAGATGCTTTGTAATTTGAAACTACTTTTAAACTTTGATACAAGATGATGCCTTTGTCCGAAAATAGTTAGTTTATCAGTATGTTGAGTTTCACCAGCCTCATAATACAATCCGACTGCAATACACAGCCCGAGTAATACCGTCGTACTTTTTGCTAGTGGCCTACAACACGTTACTGAATGGAACTTGTTCATGTTATCATCTTTGTCGTACAATATATTATATCATCATCACACAACAATTGTGTAGTGATAATATAAACATCTTGTGCAACAAAGATGATTACAAGGACACCTTCCATTAAATAACGTGTTTTTTATTACACTACAAAAAATGACGATATTACTTGGGACTGTGTATTGGAGTCGGATTGCATTATGAAGCTGATGAACCCCAACACACTGAGAAATTAACTTATGTAAGGTTTTCGAAGGTGAATGAAAGGTTTCCTAAGTAATTATATTTAAATATGGAGTTGAGCGTAATTGACATTTAATAAATATCCGAGGATGGATGATATAGTCAATTAAGGTGCCTACATATCCCTAATATGGGGAATCAAAGTCCACGTAGTTTTTTTTGTGTGTAACTATTGTGAATTTTTTAATAATTAACTGGAATGTTACCGATATATTATTTTACATTAATTTAACGGACATTGACTCAGAATTCAAAGGATGACCAAGTCCGTGACAAAGTTCTCTTGTTTGTGCTATAGCAAGTTTATAAGAGAATTCAAAACATAATACATAATGAAAACTATTGACGTGACATCATCGGTGTCACTGATGTCAAACTTCTGATTTAATGTCAAACTCCAATAATGTGTTTGAGCAACAACCAGTAACAATGACCCGGAGAGACAAATCGTTATTCCCGTTGCACGTGAAAAAGAATTCAAATTTTCGGATCATCGCTACTGATTGTTGCTGAAACAGATTATATAAGTTCATCATTAAATCAAAACGTTGACATCAGTGACACCGCCACTAGTCTTCATTATGTATTATGTGTTGAACTCTCTTCTAAACCTACTATAGCACAAACAAGAGAACTATGTTACGGACTTGGTCATCCTCTGAATTCAGAGTCAATGTTCGTTAAATTAATACAAAATAATATATCTCAAGTGTTAGACATTTGTTTTATAAGCTATTTCTTTTTTTATTACACATTTATTTTTTACCTTGTGGTTTTTTCAAATTACTGTGAAGCGCCGACGACTCGATTGCGGGCTTACCGTCACATTATTTTGCGATCATTTCTTTGAAATTGAGTTAGGATTCAGACGATAAGTAAGTATCTATATGTGTTCTATTGTTTGTGGTATTGCAACCGTAATTTATCATTCAAATTATAATACATAAAAAAGACTATTGACGTGACATAACAGTCGTACATGTCGTTAATGTTTGAACATGAACTTCATTTCGGACAATGATACCATGTCAATATTTTTCATTATGTATTACAATTTGAATTTTAAATTTCGTCTGCAATGGCACAAACAACAAAACACTTATAGATACTTACTTAACATCTGAATTCTAACTCTATTTTGAAGAAATGATCGCAAAATATCGCGATGGTAAGCCCGCATTCGAGTCCTCGACACTTCACAGTAGTATGATACTATATCCAGTAGTTCCATTCATTTGTGAATATGGACTTGAACTTAATTGACATTTAATAAATATCGGAGGATATAGTCAATTAAGGTGCCTGCGTATCCCTTATATGGGGAATCAAAGTCAACGTAGTTCTTTTACAAAACGTCTCGAATATTAACCATTTGTTTTTAGAAGTTGAAGGTCACGATATGTAAAATGTTAGACATTTAGACACTTGTTTAAGGCATTGGTTTTTTTTAAAAGCAATAACATCAATTACACCAATGATGTCACGCGCACAACCTCTATTGTGCATCATATCCAACTCTCTCATACGCCTACAATATAGCAATATATTGAAGGCATATTGAAGAATTTGTATGGCGGTCTGTCATCTGTGCCATCGATATATATTGCAATATTAGAGGCCTATAATTGGAACCATGAGTCCATGAAACACAATAATGATTGTGGACGTGACATCATTGGTGTGATTGATATTATCACTTAATTTTTCAATGATGTTCAATAATGATTGATATTAATTATTTCAATAATATTCCATAAATAGAGACAGTCGAAGTTAGCACAATTTACGGCGTACTTAAATGTGCAACTATCATGCAACACTACAAGAAAGCTACGGTCCTCCTCCAACACCACTTTAACAATTTGATACAAGAATCCAATTGTTTTGGTGGTGTGAGGAAAAGGACCGTAGCTTTCTTGAAGTGTTGCATGATAGATGAACAGTTAAGCACTTCGTAGACGATGCGAACTTCGACTGTCTCCATTATACAACATCATTGAAATAAACAAGCCCGTGAGAAAGTTCTCTTGTTTGTGCTATAACAGTTTTAAGAGAGTTCAAAACATAATAAATAAATGAAAAACTATTGACGTGGCATCATCAGTGTCACTGATGTCAAACTTTTGATTTAATGCCGAACTCCAAAAATCTATTTCAGCAACAATCAGTAACAATGACCCGGAGAGACAAATCGTTATTCCCGTTGCACGTGAATAAGAATTCGAATTTTTGGATCATCGCTACTGATTGTTGCTAAAACAGATTTTATAAGCTCAGCATGAAATCAAATGTTGACATCAGTGATACTGATGACATCACAACACTAGTTTTCTTTATGGATTATATTTTGAACTTCTATTTTAATTTCATTTGGTAGAAGAAATCTTTTTGGTTCAATTTAAGTGATGTAAGTATTTTTTGGGTTCAATTTATGAAAGAAATAATTTGATATTCTACTATCGTAAAAAAATATTTTGAGGTTAATATTATATTACTATTATATTATTTTGAGCTTATAATAAAATTTTTATTATGTTATTTTGAGCTTGGATATTACTATTGTTAAAAATTATTATATAAATATTATATTATTTTAAACTTTGATATTACTATTATATTACTATCATTAAAATTTATTTTGAACTTAATTTATATGACTATTATACTATTTTGAGCTTATAATAAAATTTCTATTATATTATTTGAGCTTGGATATTACTATCGTTAAAAATTATTATATTACTATTATATTATTTTAACTTTTTTTTCCAAACGATATAAATCTCATATCACAAATAAAAGTACAATCGGAGGACTCACTAGTCCTAATAAAAACAAATGGAGAAACACACCATCATGGTGGCCCAGACTAAACACCAACAAAGCACTAAAGGCATAAATAAAGCTATGAGACCTAAGCACTTCCAAAACTAAACCAACAGCAAACAACAGGCCCTAAAACGAAAAGACCCCCAATAGAGTAATAAAACGACCCCCAACGGAGTAATGAAACGACCCCCAACGAGGTAATGAGAAACTGAGGCCAAATGGCCCAAACCAAAAAAAACACAGGGCAAGAACACACAGGCAAACAACCCATACTAAAACACACACCTAATACCAAAACACACACCTACCACAGAAAGACCTAGAAAAAAGATATAAACTAATAATAAATAAAGCCCTTCAACATCAATCAGTCGGACCTAACCAGCGGAGAAACAATAGATATGAACGAATAATTCAAGTCCATGGGACGGCTTCCGAAACTGCCACAAGGCCTATACGAGAAGTCGAGCCCGAATGAACCAATCTCTGAAATGACCCACCTCAACCGGAGGAACAACCGAACCCGCACCCACACTTGCACACCCCAAGCACGCCTAACAC